GGGGCAGGAGAAAACTACCTAATTTCTGGGAGGAGTAAACAAATCAGGCTGCCGGTGGCATATTCCTCCTCCCTCTCCCCCCTTCAGTTGTCATGAGAATAAATTACTGTCTGTGGAAACAGGTTTGCTCCTTAAAAATTTGCAGTCTTTAAAAACAAAATAGCAGCGCTACCCTGGGAGTCAGGATCCTAAGTGCCTGTGAGGTGTACATGTAGTGTTTAACACAGCTCAGTAAAAGAGCAAACCCCAGTGAAATTTCTTTCGTTTCCCTTACCATGGTCCTTGGCTGGATTGAATACCTCTTATTAGATATTCAGCATTCCCCGTTTTACCCATTAGCAAAATAAGGTTACAGAAAGAAGCTTAATGAACAATATAGATGTGATAAACATTACAACAAAAAAGATCCAAATGAGGCTTACCATCATATACCAAAGTCAATTCCAGATGTACTAAGCAGTTAAATGTCATGAGTAAAATAAAATCAAAGTATTAAAAATGGAAACTAGAAGAAAACAAAGGTAAGCATAAAAACTCTGGGTCAGAAAAGACTTTCTTAGCTTAAACATTATGTAAAAGATGAGTAAGGAAACGCCTAATTTGACTTTGCTGAACATCTCATTTATAATTTTTTAAATTGTGAGCTCTGAGGGTTCTCCAGCCTCTTGTTGTACAGGACCTGACATTTTAGACCTTAGTCCAACCCAACCACTGAAGTTCTCCTAACAGACCTGCTCTCTGGCCTTGTTTGTAGGTGTTTTCTCTGCCTGGAATGCCTTTTCCCACTTTGTCCCTTGTTGCTCCACTAATTTACTCAGCATCAATACTCAGTTCAGAATCATCTCCTCTGTGAAGCCTTTCCTGGCCCCTACATGAGAATTGACCAGTCACCTCTTTCAGTGCATCCGCTATAGACTGCTCACACTTCTAATGGAAACCCTATTGCACTCATTACTCACCTGCCTGCCTCCCCCTATTAAACCCTAAGATCATTAAGGGCAGGGACTGCATCTGTGCCATCCTTGATACTTGACCAGTGCTTGGCACTTTGGGGAGGCTTAGATAAACATGTGTTGAAATGGATGTTGAAGGCAAATTTCAAGCTGGGGGAAATATCCACCATAAAGATGACAAGCAATGGGGCGCCTGGGTGGCTGAGTCGTCAAGCATCTGCCTTTGGCTCAGGTCATGATCCCAGAGTCCTGGGATCGAGCCCTGCATCGGGCTCCCGGCTCAGCGGGAAGCCTGCTTCTCCCTCTCCCACTCCCTCTGCTTGTGTTCCCTCTCTCGCTGTCTTTCTCTCTGTCAAAAAATAAATAAAATCTTTTTTTAAAAAAGATGACAAATGATAGATTTATATTTTTGTAGAAGGCCCAAACAAATAAAGCATTAACATCTTAAAAGAGAAAGGAACAATTAGGTTCACAGATGAGGGGACGGAAATGGCCAAGTATTGAACCCATCAGTGATCCAATAAATATAAGTTAAAAGTAGGTATCGTTTCATCTATCAATTTAGTCAAAATTTTCCCATTTTAAGACAACCCAGGACTGGCCAGGGTACAGTGAAATAGGTACTGTCTCATACTCTTGGTGTAAGTGAGTTGACAGTAGGTATTGAGGACTTGAAATATTTTTATGCCTTTTGAACTAATGATCACCCTTCTGGGGAGAGTTTTGCTTAGAAAATAATGCAAAAGAAAAAGTTTTGCTCAAAATTTTTCATGGCAGTGTGGTTTATAACAACTAAAAGCTGGAAACCTAAGTGTTCAAAAAGAGAAAATGTTAAGAAATTGTATTTTCTTAGAATATTATGCAGCCATTAAACATTATCGTGTTTATAAGTAACTTAATGGCATGGACATCTTTATGCTAGAAAGAGAACTGAAAAAAGAAAGATAAAAAATTTAAAATTCAGAATGATCTTAAATCCTGGGAAAACTTAAGCACAGAGTGAAGAGTTGAGTATTCCCACAGTCACTGTTTCTGATGTTCAGACTTAGTCTCTCAAGTCATGATGAGAAAGAAAAAGCCTGGGTGTCATTACAGATGTTGAATGGATTTTCAAATGCTTCAGATTTCACCAGAACAAAGTTTCAGATTTTTGCTTTGGTCTCAAAGATCATGGTCTCATGTCTATAAAAGGAAAGCAATGTTGGAAGACTGGGGAAATGTCCTGAACTGAAATTTTAATAACTACTGAAATTATAGGATACTGAGGTTTTATGAAAGTGGATTCCAAAGACTTCAAAAATGTGAATTAAACTTACTTGTATTTTCCCCTTCTTTTCCTTAAATTTCAAGCTCTTATACTGAAATGGAACTTGCAAATTTGAGACAAGTGACTAGAAAATTAGAATAGTCCTCTTCATTTAAGTAAAAGGGTCACACATATATTGAATGCATTATTTGCTGATTACCACATATGGTTGTCTGATGTAGTAAAGTGAATTCACAGAATATATTTCCTAAGGGGAAAAAAAAAAGATGAGAGGAAAAATACTGAAAGTGTTAATAGTAGTTGTTTCTTGAGGGATGAGCTTCTGGTTGCTTTCCCCTCTCTCTCCACCCTTCTATGTCCCTTGCACATAGTGGATGCTCGATGATATTTGTTGATTAAACAGATTTTCCACATTAAAAATATTTTACATATGTTAAACTTATTTTAAATAACTAAGTCCACAGTTTACTTGTCAAGTCTAAGAATCTCACAAGACCCTAACCTCACAAGATCCTAATCAATATTCATTCACTGATTTACTCAACAAACAGTTACTATGTACAGTGTGATGCAAGATGCTAAGTAAACATTAGATACCATCTGTCTTCTCAAAGAACTTGCAGTTTAGTAATAATGACTTTGGGCTCCTCTCTGCATCATTGTTTTCCTTGTCCTACCATTTCCTCCCACCTACTTTTGAACCTGAAAGCGTCCAATATATTTCCTCCCCAGAAGTCCAAGGCATAAAGCTGGGCCGATGCCTCCCTAGTGACAACCAGAGTCCCCTCCACTTGCCTTTGTTGAGTCTTTTAATGTCTTTTTTTTTGAAGCTACTATTTACAGAGTTCTTCTATACAACAGTACTAGGCATTTCTACATCTTCTCTCTTTAACTCTAACAATATTCTTTTTTTTTAGAATTTTATATATTTTAATTTCCATAAGTGATATCTCACTATATGAAAATTTCTCTAACATTGGTTTTTATTTAAACAAAACTTTGTATGTTTAAGATCAATACTATGATGAGACTTGTTCATCATTTTAATTATTATATAACCTTCTATTTTATGACTACACCATATTCTAATATTTATTCATCTGTTCCTCTATTGATCAACACTCGTTTTTTTCCTAATTTTTAACCATTACAAAGTGTGTTCCTATGAATATTACTTATGTGTAATTACTTAAGTCACTTTAAATTTCATATCATGTAAATTGAGTTTCTTATACAAGAGTTGGAATGATTGGGTATTTTCTCAAAATTTTGTAGACATAAGGAATAAAGTTTTAAGAATCATAGTCATAACTTCTCTATGATAAGTCTTCGTTTTTTTAGATTTTTTGTGTGAGTCATCTTTATTGCATGCAGTAATGGCCAAGGACCATTCCTTCTTCACCTAGAGCAGTTTATTACTTGTTTTATTTCAAGATGTTGTATGTGATCTGTGTAATCTTGATAGTAAAACCTTCTGGTAGCAGTCACATGATGGAGATGATGCTTATTTCTGCAAGTGTCTAAAATTGAAGGGAAAATCCACCTTCCTTCCTGTAGGAATCTGCTGGGTTTGGAGACTCCAAACAGGGTCGTGTTCCAGAGATAAAAATGCTCGGTCACAGGCTGGGTGAGCACAGAGTGTGGCCAGAGACTGGGGAGATGGGAGTGAGTGACTACTTTTCTTTGGGGGCGCACTGAGGAGTGGGGCCCTGAGTCCTCAACTCCTCCAGGCAGAGATTTTCACTCTTTTCACTCTTTTCACTCTCATCCTCCCAACTCTAACAATATTCTTGAAAGCTAGGCATTATTATCTACTTTTTCTATTTTACAGGGAACAAAGAAACAAAGGCACAGAGAGGTTAAGCAAGTTACCCCATGTCACCCAGAGAATGGTAGAGCCAGAATTCAAACCCAAATCATTTTGATACCAAAGGTGGTTCTATTGTTCACTCTGGTGTTTCGAACGTCGGGGATCTGAGAATAGGAGGAGGTAGGCAATCCCAGGGGGAGACACTAGAACCAATCTCATTGTTTCAGAGCTGGCTGGATGTTGGAAGGTAGCTGAGCGGGTAACTGAAAGAAGGGCTGAGAAGAGCTGGTACCTTGAAGTGCAGGAGCTGGAACAAGATTTGCACTTCTGCTACTATTCCTGGCCGACTGGGGAGGTGTGCCTCCACTCAGCTCATCTTGCCCCTCCCCTGCAGTCAGAACAGAACTGGGGCATGAGCTGGACTACACATCTCCCTAAAAGACTTTGAGAGACAATGGGAAGGGCATTGTTCTAGGTTAGTTGCTCTTACTGGCAAATGGGTAGAAGGTTCTAACATCTTTAGACGTGGCGAGCACACTAGTTATCTTCAATGACATTTGCTAGACACCTATAGTAAGGTCTCACACTCCTGACCATCCAGGATCCCCCTAACCTACATTAAAATCAGTGCTTGTTTTGAGAAAGGCAAGCAAGTTGGGTCCTAAGGAGGAGTATGCTTTATATATTAAAATGACCCCAAAAATGTCTCCATGGGAAACTTTTCAAAAATCAATGTTGGCTTACCGTCAATGTTTTTCAACTACTTTTTTAAAATAAAAATTACACTTTCAATAACACACTCAGAGCTTCTCACTTAGAGGAAACAATGTCTAGACTTGCAGTGAAGACTCAAGAAATATTAGCTCAGCAGTTCTTTAGCCTTGCTAGGGAATTTAAATTTTAGGACTCCTAACATAAAGTATTTCATTCGAAATAAGAAGTTAGATTAACTTGACAACACAACTAAATCATATAATAATTTATTCTAAGGGTTTTTACAAAATACTTTATGAAAATTATACATACATAGGAAGTACAGTTTACATTCTAATTAAAACTTTGTTGCAAAGCTTGTCTGTGAGCACTCGCATGCTAATTTCATATAGTAGAGTTATAGGAAAAACAGAATCATATATGTAAGGTTTTGGTTTTGTTTTTTTACAGTCTATTGGAAAATACAGGCTTGAGATCTTAGGAGAAAATTAAGCCAAAAGTTGAATTCCACCTATGAGCCAGTGGGTGGCACCAAATCATATCTGAGACTTTGACGCTGGGAAAGCAGAAAGCACTTTCAAAGGCAGAAATACATGCGGTAGATTCAGTCCTATGGCCCTAACCCAGAATTCCATATTTTAATAGAGATTACAAAGTAAATAGTTTTCTTATGGTCAAATGCTTTATTATCACGAATATTCTGCATTTCCCCCTCCTTCTAGGTGTATTTTTCTTTCCCTCTTTTCCAAAAAACTACGTATTTTCAGTTCCTGCGAGGATCTTCAACCACTGAGTAGCAAGCCCTCCTAACTGCAGCATGGCATGTGGTGTGAAACACAGGACGGCAAACTAGAATATTTTGCTGCTTAAAAGCACCCAACATTTAATCTCCTTGACGGCTTTTTCTCTGAAGCAGCATCAACCGTTTGATTTTCCTAGCTTTCTCAAATATTCCTTTAATGTTGAAGTCACAAATAAGTTACATACTTCTTACTTAAATCTTGGGGGGCTTATAACGAAAGAAGCTTATGCAGGTTGACTTTAACATGCTGTGTAGCCTCCGTTAGTGGCAAGGGGCAGCAGGTGAGCATCTGTCTACACGGTCAGATTTTCAAGATCTGATTCCACCTGTTTAGTAGTTTTCAGTGGAGGGGCCAGTCGACTTTGGGTTCATTTTGAAATCTTGGCAATCAACAGCATTCTGAGAGGCAGCGTTGCTTCAATCCAAGTGTTGGGGGACTTTACCATCTTTTCCCAGAGAGCAACTTCCTCTGAAGTAGAGTCCATCCAATCCACTTCAGTACCATAGCTTTTACCTGCAAAAGAAAAAAAAAAAAAAGGAAGCTTTGCAGTTAGAACAGAATAGTTCATTGGGGAAAAAAAATGGATCATCCCCTAATTATAATCATCAATGGAAGACAGTGAGGGATAGTTTTAATATCACCAGGAGGGCAGATCTGGGGCTTTCTATAAGAAAGAACTGTTTAATCACCTGAAATGTCCAATAACAGGGCACTCCATAATTGGGACTATTCCCTCTACTCACAGAGTGATAGATTTCTTTTTGTGTTCATAGAAAAGCTGGCTGACAATCTGTCAGGGACAGAGTGGGGTAGTAGGGATAAAGCCTGGCATTGCGTTGGAAGTGACACTAGATGATCTCTAAAGAAGAGTAGTTTGGGGTTTAGTGTCTAACAGACTCAACTTTCAGTCTTGGCTCTGATACTTATTAGCTCTGTTACTTCATTTCTTGGAACATCAGTTCCTCTGGGAATAACATTAGTAATTATAGGATTTCTGTGAGGATTAAATGAAATAATATAAATAAAGCACTCAGTACAGTGACTAGCGCCCCATAAATACTATTTACTATGATTATTTAAAGCACACTTTTAGTCACGAAAAGACATAAATGTTTTTTTCAGGGAAGGGTAGTAATGAAAGCTTTTCTGTACCTCCCACACACAATAACTTAAGCTCTGTGTGGACAGCCACTACATCCTTTTAATCTTCATATCTAGAGCCCTTGGCATACAGCCTGACATTCCTTCACTCATTCATTTCATTACACTTAACAGAAATAGAGTATCTGTTTTCATTAGGAAGAAGCGAAACAACAAACAGACAAACCTCTACTGTCCCAGAAGCACTTGGCTCATAGAGAATTAAAAACGTAACAAACATTACCTGTTCCAAAGCCAATCCGAAGACCTCCCAAAAACTGGTTGGTTAACTTGTAATGGTCCCAGACAGTAAGCTCTACACAGGCTTCTGTCAGATCTTCAGGCCTGAACCCGTCATACACCATGGTGTGGTTGAAGACAGGACTGGTGGTTTTCCCTACAGCTCTGGTTTTTTGACGACTTTTCCTACTTGTATCTGGAAGGATGATACTACAAAAGGAATCATTATTGTGAAAGCATTTTAATAAGATGGTGAACATTTATGCTTTCAGTGCACTTCAGCACAATTACTGAAGATTGGCAGAAGGAAATGGAAGAAAAAAACAGTGTAGAGATGCAGCAGTAGTGGTGGTGGTGGTGGTGGTGGTGATGGTGATGTGGTAGTGGTGGTAGCGGTGGTGACGGTGGCAGCCATGATGGTGGTGGTGATGGTGGTAGTGATGGAGGTGGTGGTGGTGGTAGTAGTGATGATGGTGATGATGGTGATGGTGATGTTGATGGTGGTGGTGGTGGTGGTGGTGGTGATGGTGATAGTGATGGAAGTGGCGCTGGTGGTGGTAGTAGTGATGATGGTGATAATGGTGATGGTGATGTTGATGGTGGTGGTGGTGATGGTGGTAGGGATGGAAGTGGCGCTAGTGGTGGTAGTAGTGATGATGGTGATAATGGTGATTGTGATGTTGATGGTAGTGGTGGTGGTGATGGTGGTGGTGACAGTGGTGGTGGTGGTGATGATTGTGGTGATGGTCATAATGATGGTGGTGGTGGTGGCAGTGGTGGTGGTAGTAGTGATGAATGCAGTATAGGTGGTGGTGATATTGATGTGTTGATGGTGGTGGTGATGGCAGCAACCTGCTGGAGAGACTGCATTACAGTGGACCAGACTTGCTTTGAATCCTGTCTCTGTTACTTATTGGCTGTGTATTGTAGGGGAAGTCACATAATCTCTCAGACACTTGTTTCTTCATCTTTAAAATGAGAATGGTGATGCCTATTTCATAAGGTTAACATTAGAATTATATATGAAGTAAACAACTTAGTTTAGTGCTTTCATTTAGTAAATGCTTAATGTGGTAGCAACTTCTTGAGGATTTCTTTAAAATTTGGAAGCATTCCTGATTATCTGTTTTCTGTTTTTAACCTACCACACCTCCTATAAACACAAAAAGGTCTGAGAGTTGTTTCAGAATGAGAGACTCACCTGAGCTGAAAAATCTTACCAGCTGACATCTATGAATAATATTTATAGGGAAAATCACAAATAATGCCTTAAACACTTAAACAGCTAACACTGGGGCGCCTGGGTGGCTCAGTCGGTTGAGCGACTGCCTTCGGCTCAGGTCATGATCCTGGAGTCCTGGGATCGAGTCCCACATTGGGCTCCCTGCTCGGCGGGGAGTCTGCATCTCCCTCTGACCCTCTTCCCTCTCGTACTCTCTCTCTCTCATTCTCTCTCTCTCAAATAAATAAATAAAATCTTAAAAAAAATCTTAAACAGCTAACACTGGTCTTCTAGAAGAATCTATATAGATAAAATTAGTCAGGGGGAGCTAAGAGATCACACACTAATATCTGTTTCGTTACTACTGACTACATGCCAGCCATTTATATGTGTAAAAGAGAAAAAAAGTTTGCCACTTAGAAACTCAAACTGTCTTAAGCTCCTCTGACATAAACTATTAGTAGGGGTCTGTTTAGCAAGTCATTTTCTACACATTTACAGGATGAGGCAAAAGACCTTTTGCAAACAGTTCACAAAGGTAGGACAAGGTACAGGAGGAAGAATTCTCCCCGCTCCACAAAGAAGTCAGGGTTATGGCATTAGGAATTTGATGAGTTTTTTTATACTGAATATTATCCTCACTAGCAGATATATCTCTTAGAAAGCATTCCATATCTGAGTACATGGTTCCTGGTTTCATCTGTATATATGCCCTCTTTATGGTTTTAAAACTAAACTAAGCCTTAGGGGTTCATGTCACAGATCCCTCTAGTTCATGTTGCCATTGTCCCAAGTTATGTTATTTCAACCATGAATGATGAGTTTCACCATCACAGATATTGAGACCTAAAAGCAATCAGCAAAGGCCAGGCTATGGTAGAACTGAGAGAAGCAGAGGTATCAAAGCTATTACCATTTAACAAAAGAATTTAGATGGCTGCCCCTTAGCTGTGGTAGATCAAGACATTCCTTCACCCAGATGTGCACCTCTCCCGTTGTAGGAAGCTTTTTACCTGTAATTGGAAAAGGAAAGAAAATAAAATTTCACTGCTATTCCTTTCTTGGCAATACTACATCCAAAGATGCTAACTTAAAAATGGTCTGGCACAGTGATACTAGCTAGAGCTTGAGGATATGATCCTAACTGGTTAAATCTATAGATTTTTAACTAAATCTTCCACAGTCTGGCTGCACTGAGCTCAGAGAGTTCTATGAAAATAATTCATATTGGTGCACCTGGGTGCCTCAATTAGTTAAGCATCTGCCTTCCGCTCAGGTCATGATGCCAGGGTCCTGGGATCGAGCCCCGCATCAGGCTCCCTACTCAGGGTGAGCCTGCTTCTCCCTCTCCCGCTCCCCTGCTTGTGCTCTCTATCAAATAAATAAATAAAGTCTTAAAAAAAAGAATGGTAACAACCCAAAGGAAGTGAACTGAGAGATGAAGATAGAAAGAGGAAAAAAGGAAGTAGGTTTGGGGATATCATTGGAACTCCTATATCATACAATACTTAAAGCCTGCCTGGGGAATGCCTGGATGGCTCACTTGGTTGAGCATCTGACTCTTAATTTTGGCTTATGTCATGATCTCAGGGTCATGGCAACGGGCTCTGTGCTCAGCATGGAGTCTGCTTGAGATTCTCTCTCTCCCTCTACCTCTGCCCCTCCCCTGGCCCGTGTTAGCTTGCTCAATAAATAAATAAATAAATAAATAAATAAAGTCTTTAATTTTAATTAAAGAAAAAGAAAATAATTCACATTGATTCCAAGTACAGAGTACTATATTATTCTTTCTGGGTTTGGCTTGTTTCAAAACAAGTTAAAGATACCAGGCATGTAAATCATCCATTTATAGTTATATTCAAGACATCTTAATGAAATGCATATTCCTTTCAAATATTAATACTAACATCAGTTGCTATTAATGGGAGGCATTTGAAACATACTGAGTATAAAATAATCAAAATAGGTACTGGCTAAGGTATAGCCAGTCTTCTTGTTAATTGTGGTTACATACTTTATGGGAATACTGTATACATACACACAGTAACTAATGTTATGCACAGGGAATACTGAGAAGTTGGCTTAGTCTTCAGTTGTTGGCTAGACTGGGTGCACATGGACAGAGGGCCACTACCATATTTTTCTGAATAGGTTAATCCAGTCAACCAACCAGAATTTAATGAGCATCTATGATGTGCTTGGGTCTATGCTAGGAATGTCATTGGATATACAAGGAATATAAGAAATCTATGTCCTTGGAAAATGTTTACATTTAAGTTAAAAAGAGTAATTCACACAAAAACTATAAAAATGTAATACAGAATGAAATGCCAAGTTATTGTCATAATGTTCTAGATGATGATCTGATCAGTGAGGGTGAAAGAATAAAGCCAGGAAAAGCTTTATGATGGGACTTTAAGATGAGACTTCTTCTCAACCTATCCAAAGACTTGGAGAAGAGGAAGACATTCCAGGGTAGAGAAACTACATGAGCAAAAAGTCAGACAAGGTGGAGCCCATCACAACACCTGGTCCCCTTTGCCCCCACCACCAAGAAATGATAGTGGAGGAAAAGAGATTGGCAGAATTTCTATGCATGTGGACCATAAATGATAGGATACAAATTATATATATTAAGAAAATTTGCCTTTTAGGAAGATCCAGAAGTAACAACAAGGTGGTTTGGCAGCCATATGGGCCTAATGATATGTTTTGCTTGCCTTCCGATTCTTTTTTTTTTTTTTTAGTTGAATTAAAATGCCTTTCTCCAGTTCAGTCACTGCCCTTACCATCCATTCTTTCTTTCATCCCACGAGTTTCACTGCCTAGTTACTGAAAACATCTGAGTTGCAACCTCTGATTTCTGTCATGATATCATACAGATTCTTAAGGAAAAAACTTGGGGAACTTCTTGGGAAATGAGAGGGGGCTGGCATTCATTTCTTGCTAGTCTCTTGGTCTTTAACTGGGCTGCAGACCTGAGGCCCTAACATCAAGGATGCAGTTAGTAACCTTGAGGGAAAAGCTTTCTACCCTGCTGAGGCCTTGAGAATGGAGAACCAATGAGCTCTAATTTCCTAGGGGCTCCATACGAATCCTTCTAATTCTCACCTGTAAAGAACACTCGGGTTCCATTCTTACCATAACACTACCAATAGGTCCAAATTCTGAACATGGAAAAGGCCATTCATGTTGTGCAGATACCAACTTTTTGGAAAGTGAGATGAAAATTAAAACAAGGACTATAAACTAGAGAATTTTGTAAAATGAGAATTTTTTTTCATGGAAACAGAGGTAGAATCGTAGTTACCAGGGGCTGGATGAAGGACAAGTCAAGGGTATAGTTTAATGGGTACAGAGTTTCAGATATGCAAGACGAAAAATTTCTAGAGTTCTGCTTCATAACAATGTGAATATACTTAATACTACAAATGGTACACTTAAAAATGGCTAAGATGGTAAATTTTATGTTTTGTGTTTTTACCACAATTAAAAAAAAAAGAATTTGTCAACTGTAAATTGACTCATTTGGTCCGTAGAATTACTAAGTTAATAAATTTGCTTAGGGTTTCATATTTGAAAATATCACAGAGTCCAAAGAAATCCTTGGAGAGGGAAAGGCTCAGGAAGAGGCATAAATCTGGATGGAAAATCATTACATACCAGGAATTGGCTCTGGGACATACTGGAGAGCTAACTTCATTTCACCTCTGTTTTCTGCCTCAAGGGCAACGGGTGCTGTCTGGAGAATGAAGGACTGTCAGTAGGTGTAAGACAAAAATGACTTTACTGTTTGTTGGTTACTCTGTTTTAGGACCATAACTGCCCCAATTCTGCGACTATGTATCACCCAGGAGTGCCCTGGATTAAAATTTCCTTCCCCATCAGAGCTAAACTCTTGCCTTTATATCTGGGAAAGCTATATATTGTGTATCTTGAAATAACTTGCTTGGTACCCAGAAAACATCTCAAGGCCTTTAGTCTCAGAGATAGTAGGGAAATCAGAATGGCTTTCTTGGAGAGAGAAGAAATGTTCTGGGATGCTTTGGTTTTTATAAAAACACACTTTTTTTGTTGGTCACCCAGCCAGCACATAAAACTATTTATTTTTATTATTCTCTTTCTTTGAGCATGAAGAATGTGGGAAAGTAGGGGGAAGAAAAGCCAAACATTACATTTTCAAAGCTGCATTAACCTGATTATTTCAGATCACATAATGTGAGGTCTCTAAGAATGACAAAGACTGGACACTAATTTAAAAATACATGTCTATTTGTTTCGAGTATAAGAGAGATGGCTTTACTTTCAGATTCTGGTCCTTTAGAGCCTTATTGCCAAAGCATGGTTATGCATCAGAAACATAAGGGAAGTTAGTTTAAAATGAAAAGCTCTTGACATCTTCTGAGGAATTCACACCCAGTGAGTCTTGGGTAAGACTAGAAATAAGTGCTTCAGGTGATTTTGATGCAATATTTGGGAACCATTTCTTAAGTGAAAGTGCTATATTATGTAGATACTAAACAATGATTTGTATTGTTGCTATTTATCACTTCTAGCTGGGATCACACCAACTCTCACGCTGAGAACAATTAAAAAAACTGGATTGAACAAATTTATTTCAAGGAGCTAAAGAATTATTAATATAGACAGGACTCAAATGGACAAGATCTTTGAGCCTGACATTCTCTGCTTTTCATGTTGATGCACCAGCTGATTTTTAAGTAGTGCCAAACTAGAGCATAAAAGCCTAACTGAAAGAGACTAAGAAGCCTGAGCAGGGCTTTTGCCAGTCTTTTGTGGGGCTGGAGAGACAAAAATTGGAGTCCACAGCCAGCATGGAAGGATAGCCTTAGAAAATACCCTAGGAGGAATTCTTAATCTCAGGAAACAAAGTGAGGGTTGCTGGAGTGGTGGGGAGTGGGAGAGATGGGGTGGCTGGGTAATAGACATTGGGGAGGGTATGTGCTATGGTGAGCACTGTGAATTGTGTAAGACTGTCGAATTACAAACCTGTACCTCTGAAACAAATAATACATTATATGTTAAAAAAGAAGAAGAAGAAGAAGAAGATGATAGTAGGAAGGGAAGAATGAAGGGGGGAAAATCGGAGAGGGAGATGAACCATGAGAGACTATGGACTCTGAGAAACAAACTGAGGGTTCTAGAGGGGAGGGGGGTGGGGGGATGGGTTAGCCTGGTGATGGGTATTAAAGGGGGCACGTACTGCATGGAGCACTGGGTGTTATGAACAAACAATGAATCATGGAACACTACACCAAAACAAATTATGTAATATATGGTGATTAACATAACAATAAAAAAATTTAAAAAAAATTAGATAAAGGAGACTTACAAATGTTTAAGATATTGGGTTTTCAGATATATACTTTAAATAACTTTGATTAATATGTTCATAAGGATAATGTTAAGATAGAGAATTTTAGCAGAGAATTGGTCTATAAAAAATCAAATAAAAATATAAATCTGAAAAATATAATGTTGAGAACTTGTAAGATGGGTGTTTTAGACATAGCAGATAAAATTAAACTGAAAGATAGTTTAGCGAAAAAGAAAAGAAAATACAGAAAAGAGCATAATAGACATATGGGACAGAGGTGCCTGGGTGGCTCAGTCGGTTAAGCATCCCACTTTTGATTTGGGCTCAGGTCATGATCTCAGGGCCATGAGATCAAGCCCTGTGTTGGGTTCCACACTGAGCGTGGAACCTGCTTAAAATTCTCTCTCTCTCCTTCTCTCTCTATCCTTCCCTTCCACACTTGTACAGGCTCTCTCTCTCTAAAAATAAAATAAAATAAAAAAAGAGAGATACATATGGTACAAAGTGAAAAGACATAATGATCCCAAACTATGGATAACCATTATGAATTAAAATGCAATTATAGTAGCTTTCTCCTATACACCAGGCCCCAAACCAACCAACCAACCAACCAACCAACCCACCAACCCACCAACCAACCAAGTCTGCACGAACCTTTCGCTTTAGAGGGTACCACTTCAATTGTTTATTCTGTTTGTTGTCCCAGTCCCAAGTTTCCAAGTCAAGTTCCACTTCTCCTAGAAAACTATTGCGTTTAAATGTATCCCGATGCCAAACAGAGAGGTTCAACTTTTGTGTTTTTAAGATTTGCTTTTCGATTTTATACTGCAGATCAAAGAAGGAAATTGAAGTGGTGAATAACACTATTTTATATCAAAGTTATGACATAGAGATGAAGAGAAAAGTCATCTGTGCATATCAGGTTTTCTCATCTGTTAGGTTTCAAGTATCAAAAATATTGCAAAGTCATCTTATTCTAAGTGTCTTGTTTCAAAGAGCTAAATCCATCTTTCACAAAAGCTGATTTTCTTTCTACTTCTGGAAAAGTAAACCACGGTTCAAATATCATAGCCAGTCATAGCTCTCTAAAAACAAAAGCCAATTATTCATTTTTTTGCTGGATGTTTTTAGTTCAAACTAAATATAACATAAATCCAATTCAGTCTAAAAATACTAATGAAGTTTAATCCTATGGTCTGTTTTCTACCTAAGGACAAGGTATTTTTTCTAATAGACTCTATTTTTTAGAGCAGTTTTAGACTTATAGCAAAATTGAGCAGAAAGTACAGAGAATTCCCCATATATCACTTGCCCCCATTTACACATATCTCCCACTATAGATATCCTGCAACGACAAAGTATTTTCCAAAAAAAGATATATTTGTTTTTTCCTGCTTCATATGGTTGAGTGGAAAATATTTGGCATCCTAACAGTTTTTCATCTAAAATGCAGTCAGTCCTAGATTATATATAATCATGGAAGGGATAATAGTACTTCTAATCTAAAAATAATCTGTTTGGCTGTATGATGTACTACTTGAATATCCATTTTGGTTGTAGCAGGCTTGCCTTTCTCTGAGTTTACCATTTAAATTAGCTGGCTTTTCCTGAGTATAGGGTTGAAGTAGCTGACCCAGAAATAGCTAGGGTACTGAGGTATATCATAGTCAAACTGTAATTAAAAAGTGGCTACAGAAAATCCATAAAAAACTGACCCATGAAGGACTGAAAATTAATTTAATCCTGCTTCTTTCCTCAGAGGATAATCAAATAGTGGGACAGACTTTTCAGAAAGGGGAAATGAAGAACACTTCTTATATTTTTAGTTTTACATTATCAAGACTAAGGCAGCCTTATGCAGTCTGGGGGGAAAAAGAACACGGGTATTTAAGCCAGGCACACTTTCTATTCATCTGTCCATCCATCTCTCCTTCCAGTAAACATTTTTTGAGTATCTATCCAGACACTGGTCAACATTTATGTGTTTAATGTATACTAATCACTTTGCACATATTAACTCTTAATGTTCACAACTACTGAAGTAGAGAGGCAGGTACTATTATTACCTCTCTTGCAGATCTGAAGAACAGACAGGTAAGCCATTTGCCCAAAGGCACACAGTTGATAAATGACATGGAGTTGGTCCCTGCCTGCCTGAAACTTACAATTTAATGGGAAAGCAGACAATGAAGCCAGTAGTCAAAAGCCTAATATAAAACAAGGTGCCTGAGGCAGCAGACCCAGGTGGGAACTAAAGAGTTAAGGACAGCCTCTCATGGGAAGAGGCATTTAAGGCTGGAGGAGGTAGCTCGGGATAGAATGTGGGAAAGAGTTCTCCAGCCTGATGGAACGCCAGGTCCAGCAGTGTGAGAAAATGTGCTTCGTTTCTCAAAAGAACAGAAAACACTCAGAGTGACCTGAACAAAGACTCTGAAAGTGGAAAGATGAGGCTGGAGTTCAGGTTGTGAAGGGACTGGTAGCATGGTAAGGTGGACTTGGCTTTAAGGGTAATGGGAATCCTAAAAGATTTTAAGTAGAGAAATAACATGATCAGAATTATACTTCTGGTAGCTCCTTTGCTTACAATGCTCCATGTTTTCAGCTGTGTATCTTTGAGCAAACTCCTTTGTTTCTCTAAGCCTCATGTGTGAGGGGCAGATAATATTCCTCCTGGTGGAGTATGTAGGGAGTGAGTGAGAGAAGGCCTACAATGTTCACGGTGTATGGTCTCATGCAAAGCAGTTTCTCAGAACATGTTTATCCCTTCCCTTCTTCTCTCTCCATGACTGACTTCATTTGTAGAGATACTACCCAAGAAGACATGGCTATCGACACACAACTCATCATTTAGGATTTTCCTAGACAGACAGTTCATAGATACCCGCAATATCTCATTATACACAGGATTCAAAGTCTTCTTCACTACAAGTGTTTTCTTCTTGCCCATTTTGCCCTTGTCTGGTAACAAATAGGTCTTTACATATCTAAAAAGAAAAGTAGACAAGAAGGTCATGGAAAATAAAAGTGATGTTTCCATCTCTGCTTTGAAAAATGCATTGGTAATTGACAGAAATAATTATTTCATGACACTGAGAAAAGCAGTTAAGTAATGAATGTTCTCAACAACACCTTTTATACTTAAATTTTTAAACACAGTGCAACAAAATTGGTCATTTTATACTGTTTTGAAAAATTTTAAAGGATATTTCCTGAATCCCTTTCTTCCTTTGGCCTTACCTGACATGTGGGGTATCAGGGGACAGACCTCGAATGTAATGCTTAATTTTACTGGCTTGTTTCCTATTGAGAAAAGGCTTTGGTGCTTGCAGAACTTTTTAAAAAAGTTTTGTTACTGCCTTTTGGAAACAAAAATTGATCTTAGCACACATCTAAGCAAGCCATATTCAATGGGGGGAAAAAAGGGATACTGACCCCAGCTGTTTTGCTAATAAAAGCATAAAGGATTGGGCCTATGCTAGCAAAATAATTAAGAATCTGACTTCTGCATAGGGAAAGCAAAGAATACCATTCAACTTTTGCAAATAAACTGAAATTCAATTAAGTCTGTGATCTAAAAGATGAGCTGGTAATTCCCCCTAAAGTTCTTCTGTAAAATATAATTTAAATTTAGAAACTACTTCATTCTAGAATCTTAACTGTTTCTGCACCACTGAACATTCTGAAGTACGGCCTGACATGTCTCTAATTTTAGAGAAGTTTGAGAATGTCATGGGAAAAGAGTGGGGTTCAAGCCCTCATTCCCCATTTTGCTGTTGACTCTCTGAGTTTATGTAAATACGTTACTTTTCTTCTCTGGCCCTGGTTTCCTTATCTGTTAAAAGAACGAATGGGACAAGATGGCCTCAAAGGTCGCTTCCACTTGAAACATTTTCTACTTCTCTGACATTTTTATAGTTTAATAAGTTTGGCATGTTTATAGAGTAAATAAAACACCATTTTCCCCCAATTTTTCTTCTCAAACATTTCTTTTTGACACAGTCACACACATAGCCTCCTTTCAGTTACTTTCTTTCCCAACTTCTACAAGATTACGAAGAACTAAGAGAAAACAGGGACTCCAAATTGTACTTACGGGTCTGAGCGCTGTTTTTTAACATCCGCTGCTGCTAAGTCTTTACACTGGGCCACAAAGACATGTAACTCCTTCAGTGAGTCCACATAGTCGATTGCAAACTGAATATTTCCTTTCACTTCCAGATTGCCAAAGTCTCCACTGTAAATGCTCATCACGCTGCCGCTCACCTGAGGGCATTGGAAACACGCAGTGTTTGTTTCTGTCTCGTGCATGGATCCAATGCAAAGATCACAAATATAACCTTGGCTTTCCATTATTTCTCTAGTTTGCATTTAAAGCAGTTAATAGGGCATAAAGACAGACTAACACAGACAACCTGACATGATATATGACACGACTAGTGTTTTAAAAAAATTGCCTCTAAAAGATACAGATGACAAGTGAAATGCAAAGTTATTTAGATGCTGGCTCATTTCAAAGCAGGGGGATTTTATGGTAGGGGGCATTCAGAGTTCCATTTTTAGGCATGCTTAGTATTTAAGATGTTAAAGAAAGAGGATGTGAGAAACCCCAGGCACACAAATCACAGTGACATATTGCTCTATCAAATTTCCAAGGCACTAAAAAGGAATCTTACTATGTTGCCCATCTACTGAATCTAGGAAAATGCTTAGTTGGCCATATGCCTTTAGAGGTCAGGAAGGGTAGAGAATGGATGATTGATGGAGGCAGTTGAAAGCCTTCCCAAGGCCATACATTTAAGGATCATCAGCAGAAATTCAATTTAAACAGATTTTTTTTAAAAGTTTGAAAAATGGGAGGCCAGTAAGAATTTAAGTGCAGCTTTATCATTTGGTTAGCATACCTGGTGAGATAGTGTGTATATCATAGAACTATCTGGATAAGTGTTTGTGGGTATATTTCCATATATATATTTCTACACGCATACTCCATGCTCACAGGTGACCTCACTTTATGAAAGGAGTTCTAGGTAAAGTCAAATTTTCTCCATCAAACCTGAACAACTACACTTAAGGAGCTTTCTTTTTAAAATCCTGTTCTGAATACTTCTGTAAGGCAAAGAATCGCTTCTCCTATTCTAAGTGAATCAGTACTTTTATTCGTCAGGTTTGCTAAAAGAGAGGTACAATTCTATACCTGCAAACAGAAATATAAAACATATCTGATATAGGCAGACTTAAAGTTACCCCATTTTTTGCATGGAAAAATGTAGCAGTTCATCTTGTTGATAATTTAGATTTATTTTTGAAGTACTTACATTCAAAAAAAATATTCATTTATAAAGGATATGAACTCCTTTTATGCTTCAAAAAAGAAAAACAAAGATTTAGCGAGCCAGAAGCTAATTGTGGTTTAGAGAAAAAGCTCGTGCCCTTGGAATCTGGGAAGTACAATAGGAGGCCACTTTCTAGCAAGCAGGAGCATGGCAGAGCCAGGTTCACAGAAGCAGAGAGCTATCAACACGGAGCCTTTGTTTACATACAGAAGACAGGGGCGTCATGCTGGAGGAGCTGCTAAGATTGGTTAAAGAGCTTGGGCTCTTCTTGTGTCTGCTGAGCTGGTAACTGCCCTCTGAGGCTGTATCTGTTTCTCTGCCATCACTCTACAAAACATCACATAATATACACAAAGTTTAAATTCAGAATGAGTGAAGATCAGCATCTCTATTTAGAAAAATGTGATACCTTGGTATCCCAAGGATCTACAAACATTTCTGAATCGTGCTATTCACCAGGGAATGGGAATCAGGATGAAGTGGGGGGTGGTCTATCGCGGACCTCACCTAAGGAAGACAGCAGTGCTTAGCTACCAGAAGAACAAAGTGATTTGGTTCTTCACCTCCAAGGTGCGCGCCCAAGGTGCTCCAGAAGGCAGCACTGCTGTGAGCTTTCTTGTCACTCTCTTAACATCATGCATTTATGTAATATGGGGGACTTTATTGATATATATGAGAAATTAACTTTACCCAGACAACAAATGGTCTAAGATTTACTGTCAAAACATAAAATGTCATGCTTAATTCCTCTCATTATTAACATAGCCTTAACTTCCCTAAAATTAAATCTTTTGCTGGAGACACTATTAAACTAGAAAAAATAAATGCTAGTTTCATCGTTTAAACTAAAAGTTAGATACACACATATTTTTAAAATTTTAAACCACCTGTTATGTATTTCCATACTGCTATTGTGTTTATCTTTCTACCCCAATTAGATTTTAACACATTTTTGGGAAAAAAAAAGGGACCAAAGATACTTTATTTTAAATATGTCCCAGGAAATATTTACCTGGGTCAAAAAAAAGTGGCAATAATACATTTTATTATATTTAGAGCTAAAGTTTATTAGATGGTAACTTTAAAAATTCATGATTCAGAATGAGCTCCTTTGGGAGTTAGAGAGTTTATTGAGCAGTTCAGTGGAGTTAGGGAAACACCTTTATGGAGTAGTTAGTACATGCCAACATATTCCGGGGCCATGCAATTATGTATCATATAACAGATGCCAATTCTATTGCAGATTAAGGAAGGAGTTAAAGAAAAACAAAATTCATGACTTATATGGATAAGAAAAAAAAATCCTCCTTCAAGGATTAAAAAAACCCACACCACCGTATGTCCATTGTCACCCTCTACCCATGTACTTACAGCCCATTTCCCTCTATTACAGCATGTGCTGTGCTCTACCCAGTGTATCAGGTCACTAGTGATTTACTGAAGGATGAGATCCTGTCTTGTGGACCTGGAACGTTGATTTTCATGTAGCAGGCACTCAATGAACATGACTGATGCTAAGCCTTAAAGGGAGAGTGGACGGAGGCACAAGGCCTGGTTTCATGTCCACTTCCTTTAACATTCGGTCTGACCCACGTGCTTTGAGAGGTAAAATTCTACAGCTTTGTTTGGCATCTCTGATGCACAAACTCAAATGATTTGGACTCTCTTCGTGTGGAGCTATGAGGCAGCACATTAAAACTGATAGAGGAGAAAAATGAAAAACCAGGAACTGGTGTCACTTGCCTCTTAAGTTATTATATAGCTTATTCATATGACCAACCAAGACCAAAGCCTATTTACAAAGGTGTAAAAGCAGGAACTCCATGAGGTTGCCTACTGTTGGCTTCCAACTAATGATTTAGTTTCAAAGAATGAGTGATTCTTTTCAGAGGAACTGTAATGTGGGCTGTTAAGCATATGCAAGGGTATATATTTGCAGATACAGTTCATCTAAGGCCTAAGATTAGACAGAGGGGTGCCCGGGAGGTCAGGGGGAGATATGTAATTTATATGCTATCTAGAACTTTCCTCACATTTCATCTACTAAGAGAAAGCTTGAGGATAACGCTTTTTATTTCACCATCAAAAATCAGACCCAAACTCTAAATAGTAACAGCTAGCATTTACTGGGTATTCACTATGTGTCAGGCACTCTGCCGTATGTTTCCCCCACATTATCTCCCTGACTCCTCACAACGTAATGATGTAGAACTAGGAAACCAGACTCAGGGAAGTTAAGGAACTTACCTGGAGTCACACAACAGATTAGTAGCACAGTCAGCACTAGGAATGACTCCAAGCTCCTAACTACCCTGGTGAGAACATGGAATCTTCTTTCTTTCTTTTTTTTTTTTGGCTCTTCAAGTTTTTATTTTAATTCTGGTTAGTTAACAGCCAGTGTTATATTAGTTTCAGGTGTACAATATAGTGATTCAACAATTCCATACATCACTCAGTGCTCATCACAAGTGCAATCCTTAATCCCCCATCACCCTACTTAACCCATCCCTCCACCCATAACATGGTATCTTAATTAAGTCAAAGGACCTGAGTTAAAGTCCTAGATCTAGGTTTTAGCAGCTGTTGGATTTGGGGAAAGTGATTTAACCTCTCTCAAGCACTTTTCCTCTCTTATAAAATGGAGAAAACAGTACCTACAACATTTAGTTGGTGAGAGTTAGATATCAGAATGAATATTAAGTGTCTGGTATTTACGAAGTACTGAGTGAATAGCAAGATAATAATCCTGTTCCGACCTGAGACAGCATGTATAATGGCTAACGATGATAATCAGATCCAGGCTCCAGTCCTGGTTGGACCCCTTTCTAGCTGAGTGACGTTACTCACCTCTCCCAGTGTTTCCTTATCTGTAATATCTGGTAATAAGAATGGTGCCTGCCTTCCAGGCATGTTGGACAGTTAAATGAGATAATGTATGTCAACTGCCTACAGCCAGTAGATATTCTTAAAGTTTGCTGTGTCATTGTCACTTTACTACTTTAACAAATGCTTTCAAATTGTTCATGCTACCTAGACAAAGCTCTCACAAATCAACTCTACTGGAAACTACAGAGTGGTTAGTTCATACCAACATATTTCTGCCAGGATTTCTTATTTTATACCCACTTTTGAAACAAAAATCAATGCAACTTGACTTCACCACCAAAATGAGTTACTGTTTGAGTCAAATGAGATATGCCTTGCCTTGTTCCAGGATTAACAACGCTGCTTCTATTGATAGGAAAGGCAGGGGTCAGTCCTGCTGACCTCTTTGGTCTCTGCCACTGCTGAATACAAACACACCAACCTCGGCACAGCAAATCCACCTATTTGGTTCCATTTGTCTGAAGTTACAGAAGACAAACTTGCCTCATCTTGGAGAAATGCTGGAACAGACTTGCTCATCCTTTTGAGTTTGTCAGGGTGGGAAAACGGATTATCAGGCTGTGAAGGCACTGTGGAAACTAAACAGCAGTGTTTCCATTCAAAATTGTCCTCACATTATCAGACAAACATAAAACAAGTTGAAAACACACTTTTCTTTCATCTATGAATGAGATATTTTTGCAAAAAGGTTAACATGCACAGGATAAGATAAGCAACATGCAATTTTCATAAATTATACAGAGAGAACTTGCAAGGAGTTGAACCAATGGAAAAATAACAAAGACTGTTAGTTTTTATTAATCTGAAGCTGGATTTGAATTATATTAAAACATATAGCCATTGTGAATTGGCTTTCACTTATTTTTCACACCAGAGATTTGAACCACAAGATGTGTGATTTATTGGTTCATCTCCCTGGGATGTATTTTTTAAAACAAGCTGCAGGCTGAAAAACTATTTCATTGGACAGCAAGGATCTCCGTACACAACTCAATCCTAATGGTGTCCTGGCTACTGAGTGTCTAAGGGAAGGCTTGTTCGTTCAGTGATTGTGGGGATTGTGGGGCTGTTTCTCACTCAGAATTATGAAAGACTATGAGTTCAAACTAATTATTTTTTGAAAATAAATTATTTAGATACTTTTCTGATAGAAAAGTATCAGACACCTTATTTAGACACCTTTCGATACAGTAAGGATATGTGTGGAAGTCACAATGAGATGATGAATTCTATTCTTCATTTGTGTAACTCTAGTTAGAAACCTATTTCCTTCTATTTCCTTCTTTATCTAAGAATTGGTGTCGAAGCTTTTCTTATGGTGAATCCGAGATTGCTTACTGAATGAGTTAATATGTTTCAAGGCCTTTAGAACAGTACCCTGGCACACAGTATGCTCTATATAAGTATGTGCTATAAAGTAAATACTTTCTGATAATCTTTAAATTACCTTTTCGGTGTGATACAAATATACAGACTTAGTTTTTTACCAGTGAAAAAGATACCAGGAAAACAGATAAAAATAAAATTATATTTCTATATATAACTCAAAAGGCTCAAATTCAGCCCTAAGCATTAGCTAAATTCATCTTCAGTTAAAACAAAATTAATGAAGGGAAACTGAAAATTGAACTATAATAACAAAGATTTGCATATTCACATGGTAGTTCTCTTCTAGCCTTTGGCTCACAAATATATCAAAATACATTTACAGTGACTCACGAGATGATACCTGCTTTAATCACTACCCATTAAACAATAATGTGTATTGGGTATATTTGGGTGACTTACACTGCAGTAGTATAAGGTTAGATCCCATGAGGACACAGTAGAGCCCAATGAGTACACAAAAACTTTCTATCATAATACTGCTCCCTATTATTTTCAAAATTTATATCTGCTACTCAAATGTAGTCAGTTTTACATTTATTAGGATTTGGTAATTTATGTTTTGATCATATATTTCAATTTTGTTTTGTGATTAGAATACATTCTTTGCTAGAGAAAAAAAATAATCCCAGCCCATACATTAAGAGTCATCTTGGAAAATACCATAAAAAAAGAGAGAAATTAATTCATCCAGAATTCAGCACATGATGAGCCTATTTGGCTTGACCTAACGAAGCTAGGTCATGAATAAAGACACAGATACATTGGCATATATTTCCATGTCTATCCTTTGTTTTCACTCCTCGGGCTAAATGAAAAACATAACAAGCTAAAACAAGATGACCAAACTTAAGTATCTGCCAGTTCAAAAGCAGCTGGAGAAACCTTTTTACGCAACACCCCCGAGGGACAGAAGTCTTGGTTCCTCTGCAGCAGCTGGACAGAGAACATGCATCAGGGGCCAACACCTGGATTGTCTTTTTGCTTAGGTACTTCTTAAGAATTGGTCAGGTCATGTGCCAAAGCTCAGCACCTTCATCTCTGGCAGGTGGACCTCATGAGCCAAGTTTCAGATTTCAAACTAGATGTCACGGCCCTCTAGTGTCAGCACTTTGTTTCTCTATCACATGGCTCCTTCATTTAGCTGCTCTTCTCATTAAGACTTATTAGCACATCCAGACTATTGGGAAACTGTTAATAAAAATCTTGTGCTCTCCTAAGGGCAGACATGTGTATCATTATCTTCATACCTCCAGCGCCTAGCATTACGCAACTGGCTGAAACTGGGAAGCTAAGACGACACACATGCATATCTCAGGCTTTGCTAGGCCCCACAGACACCTTTTTAATGTGCTATTTGTCCTCGAGACAGTCAGAGTGAAGTACAGCAATCTTAAGATTGAACAGAAAAGAGTAAACAATCATTATCTTCGATTGGTGGTGGACATTAATTAGCAGATGGACATTAGCCACCACAAATATGCACTTATTTCTTAAGATTCAGATGTTCACTTGCTTTATATATTGAATATATACTGAGTCCAGGTTTGAACCTCAGAGCTTAAACCCTGGACATAATAAAATTTGTTTCCATAGGTATGTAGAGAGGCATATACAACCATAATGCATACTAACTGTAAAAGTACAATTCTTTCTTAGGTCCAAATAAATTATAAATTATTTCACATCTACAGGCTTGTGTAAAGGCCACAAGAGATCCAATACTCAAGACCAGACTGCAACATAAAGCCAAGTGATAACAGAAGGTGCCAACTTCATTCTAAGAAAAGATTCAAAGAGCAGAGAGACTTATAGAAGTATAATAATACTCAGCACTAACATACATATATATTTATATATACTACATAAACCTGTCTACATAAAAATTTTTAAAATATGTAACTCTCCCCCAGCGGAACCACAAATTAATCTTTCAACACTGGCAGCAGTAAAATGTTTTTAATAAAACCCCTGTCAGAATGAAATAGTTTTGTAAGCTGCAAGAGTTTTAGTACTAATAACAAATACTGTGTGATTAATAGTGTTAGTTATTTCAGTATATTTAACACCATGTAAAGTGGCAACATTTAGTCATTTGTGAGAAAGATCCTGCTACTCACTTCCTGGTATGCACTCATTTGTATCTGGTTCCTGATCTGCTTTTTGATCTACTCAGAAGAGCAACATTGAGAATAAATACCGTTTTACAAGAAGGATTAGAGAGACATGAAAGTAAAGCTCACATGTCAGTTGCACAACAGAGATTGCAGAATATATCTGACAGGTTTTCAGCTTGCTTTTATCCATTCCCCAGAGTGACTCTTCATTAGCCACTTTAGGGGTCTCCTATTCAACTAAAAATCCAACATCCAGGATAGGAGATATTTTGCATCTTTCCACTAAGTCACTGAGCCACACATGGCTTGGCGGATGGAAGGAGCACTGAACTAGGAGTAATGAAGCCAAGCTTCTAGTTGCCACCTCCCCCCACTGACCAACTAGCTACAGGATTTTGGATAAGTCACCTCATTTCTCTGAGGTTTCTTATCTGTAAATGAAAATGAAAATCCCTGCCCTGCCTAATTCCACGAAATTGTTGCAAGCATAGAATGAGAAAAACAAAACTATGACACAAAAGTAGGGAATGACCTTTGAGGAGTTCTGATGCTATATTTTATGGGGAAAGCTCAGTTAATATACATTTTTATTATTATAATAAAGGCAATTTAGAAAACACAATCCCAATGTACAAATATAAATTACACATTTGCATAAATGCTGAACTATAAAAATCAGACTCATTTCCATCCCTTCCCCCACCAAGGCACTATTACCCTGTATATTTTATAACTGAACCACGTAATACTCAATCCACTGACAAACTTCATGATCTTCTGGTTCCTTAATATTCAGAACCAGTTAATTTTACCTCAGTCTATATTTAGCTATTTAAATGAGCCGAGGCAGGATCCTGACTCTGGTTCTGGGACTTGTCCCTTTGAAGTTAAAGCTTTACCAGCTATGCCCAGAGAGCTCCAAATGCTGAGACATGAGACAAATACAGGAATAACTTAACCCAGGAACCCACCCGACGCTTCCTGCCCTCACAAGGAGTTCTGCAAGTCAGAGTAGCAAAAATCAGCTCATACCCATAGAAATACAATATCCTATTTATAGAAACCCTCACTTCCCAAGGGTCTCTGATGCGATCCTCACAACGGTATTACCAGAAGCCTTGAGAATACAAACAGTTAGTATTAAATGCACCAAGTCAGAACCGTTTTATAATAACTTAGGCACCATTCATCACATAGTGGCAAATGACGTTCTTCTATTTATCCAACAGCTGCATCCCAGCGACTGCCCAAACCGCCCAGAACCTACAGACAGACATGCAAATACATAAAGATATTTACCATCTTCAGCACTACGTACTAATTCTTCTGGCAGATTATCTACTTTTGCTTGATCTGTTCAGGAGAAAGTAACAAATGGTTAACACGACTGACCCTTGGTGAGAGAGAACAATGAGACTGTCCCTGGAAGCCCCTGGAGTTGGAAGCAATTAGTCAAGATGCAGTGAGGGGTGCAACCAAGATGTCTTCCCCAAAATACTTTCTCTTTAGATTAGCTACTTGAAGCAGTGCCATAGCGGGAGCTCCCATTTCAGCCCCGATGCAGCTTACATCAGCATACTGCTGCACACGAACTCCCCAGGGTTAGAGGGTTAGCTAAGAGCAAGCAATCGGCCAGCAGCAGGAGAAAACACAGGGCAGCAACAGCCTCTCTATTCTTCTGGAAAGGGTAAGATGCTAGCCATGACTAACACCTTCTCAAACCCATGGTCATTAACAAATATTTCTGTGCATGCATCATCATTTGTGTATGCCTCTGGGAGCCTTGCTTGGGAAGTCAACTGAAGAGATGTAACTGGGGACCAGCTGCTAAGTGGAATCTTGGCAGGCTAGTGTGAGAGTGGGTATCGGTATTTGGAAGGGAGCGTGCAGGAATACCCGTCAGCTGATGGTGATTTTTTTTTTTAACCCTGCACATTCCTAAGTATTTTAAAGCTGCACCATGGAAATAGCCCTATGCTTCACAGGCAAGAGGTTTGCCAAACTGGACAATTGTTGCTGAGTTTTGTTTTGTTTTTTTTCTTCAGGACCCATCACCAACATCAGGAAGAACAATTAGTGCGGTCTAACAAAGGACAGGACTCGCTTTCTGTGGGAGCATTCAGGCAGATGTGGGGGGGGTTGGCCACCTGTTGAGGAGGCTTTATAGGGAATTTCTGCATTGGGGGGATATTTAAAATGAGTGACCTTCAAGGTCACTTCCAACCCTGAGATTCCAAGATCTCTGGTAGGGATTGAACTGTATATTCCAAAATGAGAATACTGTTCTCAGAGCCTTGAGAATCTCTGATTTTTAGGATTTAATGGAGTGGCTTTTCCCTTTTCCTTTTTAAATTCTGACTTTTTAGTCTCAATTGAAGATACCTAAAGCATATTCTAAATATGACAATGTTCAACTTTCAAGCATATGAGTTTGGCAGTGGTTAACTTCCATTCAATAACTTTTCTCATGACCCTCTGTACTCCCAGGGGTGCCTCTTAGCTTAAAAACAATTAAGAGCAAACCCCCTAGAAGTCAGGATTTCTAAGTCCACTTGTTTGGCTCACAAGTCTATATAGACTATATATAGACTTGTGAGCTCTCGCTCTCATATATATATATATATATATATATATATATATATATATATATTATGCTTTATGTTAGTACTCAAGAAGTCCTTCACCAATTAAAGCATGGGGTGAACAGTGTGCCTAAAGTGTTACAGGCCAGGTAGTTTTTGGGCTAATAGTTCCAGTATCCAAAAGAAATGTGTGAAAAGAAGGGATAAAAGAGAAAGGACAGTCCTTGAAGCTAGGGACCAACTCATCTCCATATCATGCAAAATTCATCAGACATCCAACACTGTCGTATATAACACGGTCACTTCATAAATGCTCTTGATAGTAGTCTGTTGATTCGGATACACAGCTCTGCTGCATGACACTAAATGAGGTACTTTACTTCTCTGAGCTTCATTTGCCTCATCTGTAAAATGGGAATAACCATCCTCTCTTGCAGGGTTCCATACGCCAATTAGATGAAATGCTGCATGTGAAATGCTTAGCCACATCTTGGCACCCAGTGCTCAATAAATGTTAGCTATTCTTACTAGAACCTCCAGTTATCCCAATCTTTAAAACTCACTGGACTTAAACACTCAAACTGGGATTCTTCAATTCTTTTTTTTTTTTTTTGGTTTTTCACTTTACTTACAGAGGAATTTGGCCTTTTTTTATTCTCTTAATATTTACAATAATTCTTTTTTTTTCTTCAATTCAAGGAAACCTAGTGCTTTAGTAACCAAAACTCATGCACAATTTTAAAAGTTCCAGTCCATTTAAGATGAACTTCTTCTGGTCACTTTGGAAGGGTTATTGTCATCTGTTAACCCCCACTTTAGGGGCTTCAGTGCACAACAGCATGCAGTGAGGCCCCAGAAAAGCACATGAGCATTTTTAAGCTTAGACGGGCGGTAGGGGGGGGGGTGGTATGAAGAGTGGGGCAACCTTTATTCTCACTTGGTGAATCTGATGAAATGTCTTCTAGACTTTTGGAAGGCATTTTCCTAGCAGCACTCCTTTCCAAAGTTTTCAAGACAGGACTGCGTTCTTCCTCTGAACCTGTTACGAGACACAATTGATGAACACTGCACAATACAAAAAAGATCCAAAAATCCTAACTCTTAACCAATGGACATTGGTATCATAGGTTGAGAGGTGGCATTATGTCAGAAGCCTCTATAGTTTTATTTACTCCATGAAGCACTTCTCAGAACAAAGTAAAAATTCTCCACTCTTCATATGTCCTTTAAAAACCATTTTCCTGGTCAAGAAACATTTGCAAGCATAAATCATAAAGGAACAAGATAACCACATAAATAGAAAAGTGATCTCTTAGTCGTCTACACCTCTATTTTAGGCACATGATTTGTTCTGCGCCAGACTTTGAATCTTTCCACTTCACTTCTAGCTTTTGAAGACAACCACAAAGTGGTTTTAGGAGCATTAAAACAATTAGCTGAAAACCATGGAAGGCAGGATTCAGATGCTTAACATCTGTGTATAATCAGGTACACAGATGGGCGAATTCTCCAGATCAACAGACTGTAGGCTTTTGGGGATTCATGAGCTAGTAAAATTTCCAACAAAATGTTGGGAAATGACATGAGGTAGTCAACTTTTTATTTTATTAAGTCATTTTAAATTGTGTGTGGGGGGGCTCTATGATGTACTAATAACTTTACTTATTTTTTTAAAAAGGCATGTTAGAAAAAAAGGTCGTGTTAGGACCAAAAGAAAAAAAAGAAAAAAAGAAAAAGGGCATAACCTCAAAATAAGAACAGTCCTTTAAATTAAATACATCTAACGATACAAAAAATATATCTCTAGACGGTTAACTTTTATTTTGACAGTGAAAACTCCATCATGGATTGATTAGCTCTGGTCTGAATATGGTCATTCATCACTATGTTCTAGGCACTAAAACAGTGGCTGGCAATAGGCACTTCAAAAATGTTTGCTAGGGGCACCTGGCTGGCTCAGCTGGTATAGCACATGACTCTTGATCTCAGGGTCATGAGTTCAAGCCCCACACTGGGCATGGAGCCTACTTAAAAAAAAAAAAAAAAGTTTGCTAAATCAATGATTGATTCCATTAATGAGCCAATGAATTTGGGAACCACTTCTCTACACAATACTTTCCTGAAATGCATCCCAGTTCTCCCCAATGTTAATTGGCCTTCTAGAGCAAATGGATTCTAAGATGAATTACATTTGGGATACTCTGTGTTCAAATTTAAGGGCTTCTTACTACAGATCTTCTTGGAGACTTTAATATGCTAAAAATGTGCATAAATTCCCAGCATTTCCGAAAGTATTTGACCATGGAGACTTTTTTTTTTTTTTAAGGAATATACTGAGGTATTGGTTGATTAGGAGCTCAGCTACAAGTCAAACATGTTAGGTTGCTCACCAAAATTGTGGTGCCATTGTAGGCAGATTCCTCCCCTCTCCAGCCCACCCACACCCGTTTAAAAATAAAAATTTAGGTTAGGGTATATAAAACTACAACTGTACCATTTTATACCTCACGTTGTCTTCTAACTTTTAAATATCTTCTCTGGGCTCTGTCTGGGTGGTTATTTAACACTGATGATTTCATTTTTAGATAGGTTTTTTGCTGTTCAATCAGTTATGCTGATACACCATAAACAAAGCTATGTACCTTAGGGGCAACAGTCTCCAGAGTGAGTACAAATTTACAAGCTCTCCTATGGGTCAGTCTACCCTCCTCACTTGTGGGGTAGTTTAGTAAAGGTCCCCTTCAGCAAGTTGAACATGCTGACATATACTCCTGCGTATGTCTGGTTTCAGAGACTGGTATTCCACTTTCCTTTTACCAGCAACCTTTGTAGCAGGGGCTTCAACTTGAGTAATAGGATTTAAAGGTGGTTTGTTTGCTCCGTTTTCAAGAAGATGCCCTACCGTTACTTGCAAAGGAAACCAAACCTCATGAGTCATCCACCCAGGAAAGCTTATTCATTCTCATCAATACTGAGGGGAGCTAGAAAATGACAATTTTCTAAACTGTTAGGAGGGTGACCGACACCAGCTGTCGTGCAATTGTGGTTAAAATGTTCCAGCCAGAGAACATCCTTTATCATTTCATTGCTATAATCGGGTAATTGTGCATTCCTATTTGCTTCTGGGTTTCTCTGCTAAAATGCCCATGTTGATCACCATAGCAGACTGAGACAAGGCCTGCAGCTTCCAGCCTGGCTGAAACCAGTACCCCCAAGCCCACTTAGATGAATGTGGTAATCAATTAAGATCTTTATTCACTTAGCCAAGGCAGGAGCCAAAGAAATGCAACAGGCCAGGCAAGGCCCTCAGGTGGAATCAGGTGAAGTCATCTGACCAAAGTCATACTCTAGAGAAGGGGGAGATTCTGCAGATAATTGAAAACAAGAGGAAAAGAGTGCCAACAAAACACCACAGCACAAGGTATCTAAGGGAAAGAAAGTTCCAGCCTTGCCCTCTGTTCCTAGCCACTACTGTGGTACAATATTCATCCTAAAAGGGAAATGTGTGCCCATTTGTGTGTGGCAATTTCTTGCCACAAATCTTGCTAGAGACTTCTGTGTGGATTGCCAATTAAGAAAGAAATTATTTCCAGGAGGAAAACTAGCTTGAATGTTTCAGAAGTACTTTCTAAACCCAAAAAGTTCTTTAAAAAATACTTTTAAAACCTAAAAATTCTATTGTTAATGAGAATAAAGTCAGATTCTGAAACACTGCCTTGTGGGTAGAACTCTCTATGTAACTCATTTGATTAAAGAATATAAAAGGAAATGTAGCTTTTTATTAACAAAGCCTAGGTAGAACTGAAGTGATAAGAATTTACCACCATTTCCGTGTCCTATTAATCCCATTTTTAAAAGCCCTATCATCCTTTACAACAGCATTCCCTAAATCAACTCATTAAACCAACGGGTTAAAAAATTCAGAATGCTCACTGGAGGTTTTTCTCCAGCTTTCTGCATTGGAGCTCATGTCGCCACCTGAAAAATCAGAGTCAGAGAAATCTTTTTCTTCTTTTTTCTCTATTCTCTTACATGGTGATGCCAGAATCAATTTGACGTAAACTGTTTCTGTAGCGTTCTCTGTGTTTGTCAGGAGAGGAAGGGGTTGCCTATTTCTGGACATACTAATTGCTTTAGGAGCCTCTTCCAAGCCAGGCTCCTGAGAAGCCCCTTCTTGAACCCCTGCAACCTCACTTTCACTATCCCTGTCCTCTGCAGGGTATATAGTTTCAGTGATCCCTATTTTATGTTCCACATAGAACTGCAGGGTTCCAGGGATCTCAACCCCACTTTCAGAACCACGAAGATCTACCGATAAATCAGTCACAGCTTCGTCACCTCCCAACACTTCATCACACTGGTTGACTTGCGATTTGAAAACATTACTCATAAGCTTCATTTCAGAGGCCTCTGAGGCTGTCCAGTCAAAATGGGGTACTGTCCTCAAGAAACTGGCCTGCTCTGACTGGGAAGGCTCCTTCTCAGGCTTTTCTTCCTTCACTGACACCTGGAGCTGGTAAGAAGGAGCTTCAGATGTTTCTCTAAAAAGTTTCTCAAAACTAATATCAAAAGCACTCTCAGTGATTAATGGAGCCTCAGACTTTTTTACTATTTCTTTGATTTCCTCAGGATGGAATTCAGAAGCAGCTTGCCTGGACACCTCAGCCCTACCTGTTAACTTTGATGGAGAAAGAGTCCCTGGATCACTTTCATATTTTGAGGAGGGGGTTTCAATTACTTCCTTCAGTAGTTTTACTAAGCCAGCACTGAATTCTAGGAACTCTGATTTAGTTTGAATAACTGTTTCCCCTCACAATTTCTGCCACTTCCTGAGGTAACTCTTTGCCAGGCTGACTAACAGTGGAACCACATGAGCAACAGGTTTGTTCTGATGGAGGTACTCGGGCAGCTAAATAAGATCCAACGTTATGAGTTTTATCAGGCACTACATTGAAGGAATAGAAATCATTTCTGTCTGGCATTGTAATGTCCATTGTAGCCCATGGTGTAGAATTTTGGGGGCTACCTGCTGCCTGTACTCCTTCAGGAAATTCTGCTTGTACTTCTCCAGGAACTACTTCCCTCCCAACTGGATAACAAGCTTCTCTCAGTATCTTTTGTAATACAGCATTTACATCATTCGAGGCAGTTTTAGGAGGAAGAATGACTTTTTCTGCGGTCTCTGAAATTTCCCTTCGCAAAGGTAATGCCTTATCCTGGGGAGCAAGATGAGCATCCCTGGAAGAAGGCATCTCTTGGGGAGAGTTGGCCACATCCCCAAAAGAATCTTTTCTGTAAAGATGGGAAGGTTGACCCGATAGGTGAGAACATTCTGCGGCCACCTGACATAAGTCGTCTGTGCTTAGTTGGCACTCACCACTTTCAGTTTTCTGGGGGAGAACTGTATTTACCAAAGTTTCGTTCCCCTTTGGAAAAGGAGCTATTATCTCTTTCTGATAGGCTGATGTGCTGCGACTCCATTCTATCCCTTTTTCATAAACTCTACCCTCTTCAGGTTCAGAGTTGATTCTAGTGGTAACAGGTTCCAACACAATTGGCAAGGGACAGGGTGAAGTTCCAGATGCTTCCTTTAGGAGTTTGTCTAGACCAGCAGTCAAAGTGTTTGGCTTAACCTTTAGAGGAGCTACTGTTTTGTCTACATGCTCATTAATGGTCTCCTTATGTCCTTTGTCATCTTCTTCAGTCTCAGCAAAATCTGTATTTTGAGGCCATCTTTTATTTCCAGAAATATCTGGTTCAGACATTTGTTTTCCATGAACTTTTCCACCCAAAGGAGGCATGGCTAGTGATGAAGCTTCTGAAAGTAGCTTCTGTAAGCTGTCATTAAAAGTGTCTTTGTAGTCTTTAGACAAAACACTTGTTTTAACTATGGATTCTTGAATCTCTTGGTCTGAGTAATCCTTTTCTTCCTCAAACACTGGCGTAACAAACCATTTTGTACTCTTTTCCACATTTTCCTTTGATGACTCATTTCCTGGCAAATGATGAGTAGGCTTTCTGGATGGTCCCAATGGAAATGTGGTTTCATCTGATAACACCTGGCGTGTGCACTTTGATTTCTCTATTTTCCCTCTTACCAGAATTTTTTTTTTACCTCGAAGTATCCCTATTTCATGGGTATTCTTTCCTGATGATTTAATGTCACTGAATTCTTTGTGTTTCTGGCTATTAAAAGGCACCAAATATTTTTGACTTATTGTGTTAGTATTCTTCTCAACATTTTCTTGACTGTTTGGATTGGCTCCTAAGTCCCAAAACTTTCTCAAATTCTCAAATTGAGAGTGATTATAGACCTGTTCTGTATTGGATTCATCCATTCTTTCTTTTAGGGACTTAACTTTAAAGTTGGGATTTGATTCACTGATTAGAGATTTGTCTTTCTCCAAAGGAGTATGCGTTCCACTCCCAATATTTGAAGGATGTTGCCCAGCCGGTAAAGTAATATCCTTTTCATAATGCCAACTCTCTGCCACTGGCAATCTTTTTATAGGCTCATTTATCTTATTCTGAAAGGGAGACACTTCATCTGATTGGTCAACTGAAGGATAATTTTTGGATGGACCGGATATCTGGGGCCTGGTCTCTTTAGGTTTATTCAAGGAATAAAAACTGGAGAGATGGGTTGTGTGGCCATTCTCATCTAGGACCACTTGTTTGCTAGTGACTTGATTATATTCACACTGGCCTGTAGATAAACTGTCCATGGACTTCACAGGCTGATATGCTTTAGCCAAGGGTTGCCCTTGACTGCATGACAATGTGGGTTCTTTATGAGTTAACTTAGCAGCAGCTTTCTCACCTTCCCAGAAAGATATTCTTTCACTTACTCTTTTGTATTTCTCTCTTTGCACTTGGTTCTTGTGAACCTCACCAGCTTCTTGTAACTGGACCTCAGGTTTCTTCCAGGATTTGTTTTTGGTAGCCCCGTGTAGTGACTCAATATTCTCTGGCTCTAAAGAAGCTTTCAGGACGTATGGATCTCCTCCTTTGCTCTCTCTCTCTGCCCTCATGTTCTCTTTCAAACTTGTTTTTTTGACAAGTATTGAAGAGTCAAAATTCACTTCTGAGTTTCCTCTATTTTTTTCATAAACATGAAGCTTAGGCTCTTCATCTAAGCTGCCAACATCCTTAATGTTGCATGGAACTTGGTCTTCTGCATCAGGTCCTTTGAGAGCACTGTAGGAATAGTAACTAATTGGGGTAAGTACTCGATTTCCTTCTCCTCTGTTTTTTGAAACTTGGCTAGAGTCCATAGTTTTACTCCCTTGATTTGGGCCATAGATTTCACATGGTTGAAATATGGCTGGACCTTCCTTGCCTTGTTGGGACAAATCAATGGATTTGGGTTTGATATTCACATTATTATTTTGGCAAGTCCTAGAAGGCAGTGTATTTCCCTTTCCCTGGAACGTTGAATCAGATTCCATAGGCATCAATTTAACTTTGGTGGGTAACAGAGCCTTTGAGCCATTTTCTTTTAGAATGGTGTCATCTCTCACCAAGGCAGTAGCAACTGGTGATTCTGAGTGTGTTTCTTCTTTCAGCTCCATTCTTTGGGGATGTTGGAGAGGTGACTTATTGTCTTCTGAATGAGAACTCCGATTAAACCAGTCTAGGACTTTAGATATGGAATCGTCAGTTGTCTTCCTTATCTCAGTGGCAAATGGACCAGAGTGTGAGGACGTCCTAGCTTTTAGGGCCTTGAGAAGAGGGGGCTTACCTTGCTGACAGTCTCTAGAACTGTGATCTGGCACCTGAGATGGCTCAGGCTCAACACAAGACAGTCCATCTGCAACAAAGAAATGCTTTTCTAAATAAGGAAAGAGAATGCTTAAAGAATTATTATTCACTCACATTATCTTTTAAAGAGGCACTTTGTATTTATACTTTCCACACCACTAGCTGTTTCTATCAGCATTTCTCAGGATATTAATTAATTATATCCTAATTAAGATATTCTACCAGAGTTGCTCTGACAGTAAAGGAAGGTAAATGTAGACGCCTGAGGTATGGGGTATAGAGCCAGTTGAAAAATTCCTTTGACGTCTCTGATTTATTCTGAAAATTCATATGGGGGTGCCTGGTTGGCTTGGTCAATAGAGCATGCAAGTCTTGATCTCAGGGTCATGACTTCAAACCCCACATGGGGTGTAAGCTTACTTAAAAAAAACTCATGTGGATTTTATATTCTGATCCATGTTACATTTTTTTTAAAGATTTTATTTGAGAGAGAGAACACACATGCATGTGCGCAATAATGGGAAGAGGGGCAGAGGGAAAGGGAGAGAGAATTCTAAGCAGACTCCCCACTGAGCATGGAGCCCAACATGGGACTGGATCTCATGAGTCTGAAATTATGACCTCAGCAGAAACCAAGAGTTGGATGCTTAACCGACTGAGCCACCCAGGTGCCTGTGATCCATGTTACATTTTCAATATTACTTTTCTTCTACTCTCAAATCTATGCATAAAACTTGACACTGTAGGAAGATGTACTATGTTGATTTTATGACTCCACCCATCCACTGGCATACTTCTGAACACTAGAGGTGGCTTATACCGAGTTTGAGGAACAAAGACCAAGGAAAATTTCAGGAGTTGGGAAAACAACTTTCTGGAGCTCCCTCCAGAATATCAGAATGGTACAATGAGGATATTTGTATTCCTGGGCCTTCCTCTTGATAGATTAAACCAGAATCTTGGAAGAGGGGCCCAGGAATCTTTACTAACAGCTATCACAGAGATTGTTCTGTATACTGGAGTTTGAGGATCATGATCTCAAGAGACTCCTCTGTTATCCCCTATTTCCCTTCTACAGTTTGTGAGTTTCTAAGTAGTTTCTGTGAGCCAAATAAACAAAACAAGACTGATGTAGAATGTGATCGTCACCCGTTCCCTGATGTTGGCTGACCAATGGCTAAGATGCTAGAGAAGGTTATTTAAGCTCTAAACTATCAAGAAAGCAGAGAGAATCCTTTCTGAGCCTTAATCAAAGGGCACATGGGACACTTAGATAAGGGAGCTCAGGCACCCATCCCTTTAGTTAACACCCAGGTGTTTCAGCATTCCTCCCTCTTTCTTACAAATGCTAAGCCATGCAGCGCATGTTCCTGAAAATTAAGTCAACTGAACTTTTATGACGTCAGCTACATTTCAAATGCACTAGAGGACATATCAGTTAATAAAATTCTACCTTTATTTTAATCATCGACTCTGGCTAAGCGTGAAAACAACAAAGTATTATACAATAATGGGCACGTGGCAGATCTTGGTTTCCTTAACTACACATTGTACTATTGAATATATGTCAATAATTGTGAAGTTCTTTTGAGAAATCTTGAAGAATTCTGTGTTCATTTGTTTAACAGAAGACAATGATGAAAAAATGCTTATAACATACTATTAGTAAAAAAAAGAATTCTGGCAGTACAAACATAATTTAAGATTATATTCATGCTTGAAAATTATTGAAAGGCTCTACAATTACATGTCAGCAATACTGTAGTTAGTGCTGGATGATGACATCACAGATGGTATTTGTTTTATCCTGTGTGCATTTCTTCTTTTCAAATGTTTTACAACAAAAGTGTATTACTTTTGGGGCGCCTGGGTGGCTCAGTCGTTAGGCGTCTACCTTTGGCTCAGGTCATGATCCCAGGGTCCTGAGATCAAGCCCCACATCGGGCTCCCTGCTCTGCGGGAAGCCTGTTTCTCCCTCTCCCACTCCCCCTGCTTGTGTTCCCTCTCTCGCTGTGTATCTCTCTGCCAAATAAATAAATAAAATCTTTTTTTTTAAATGTATTACTTTTAAAATAAGAACAGTTATTTTAAAGATTTGATGCCAGGCAGTGTTCCATCTTCTCTGTATTTTGCAGTGTAGTAATGAATGTGATATTGACTGTCCTGAAGGTCAGAGCTAAAGTCAAACCCTTATAATTCACATACTTTGCATTTACCATTTCTGGGGGCCTGGTTTTCTTTCTATGCTTCATTATTTACTTGTATATATTTTTGTGGTAAGCAGGGCATTAATAAGCAAGCAGAACTTTGTATATAAGCTCTAAAGCTAGGAGACCTGTCGATCAAAATAGGTGTAGCTGGGGATGCCTGCTTGGCTCAGTCAGTTGAGGGTCTACTTTGGGCTCTGGTTGTGACCCTGGGGTCCTGGGATCAAGTCCCTTGTTGGGCTCCCTGCTCAGCAGGGAGTCTGCTTTTCCCTCTGCCCCCGCGCATGCTCTCTATAAGAGAAAAAAAATCTAAAAAAAAAAAAATATATATATATATATATATGTAGCTGACGATGTCTTCCTCCCAAACTTCATGGTCAGCTGGGACTTAAAAATCAGAAAGCACAGGGTTGCCTGGGTGGCTCAGGTGGTTAAATTCCCACTCTTGATTTCTGCTCAGGTCATGATCTCAGGGTCATGGGACTGAGCCCCGCATTGGGTTCAGCACTCAGTGGGGAGTCTGCTTGAGATTCTCTCTCTCCCTATGCCCCCCCACTCATGTGCTTGCTCTCCCTAAAATAAATAAATCTTTAAAAATAAAAATCAGAAAGCACAAATAAGTAGTTAATATAAAATTATAAAGATAGTCCTTAGTCTGTGGGAAAGCAGGTATAGTTTGAAAAACAGGAAAGGTTTACCAAATTTTTTCTGTGAATGATAGTAAAGGAAAATATTATTAAAGAATTTTTTTCATCTTTTGAATAAACATTTAAGTAAGCACCATCCAATTATTTGGCCATGTTTATCAAACTTCGGTAATTTCCTTTAATATGAGGGTTTTTTTCCATTGAAGAAGAACCTACTAATTTTTAATTTAAAAAAAATTCCTGTTCAAATGATTAAAATGTCTGGGGTGCAGGGGGGTTATTGAAAGTGCTTTGCTCTTTAAGAAGTGGATTGATCTGAACAAGTATAAAACTTTAGGGCTGAGCAAAAGTGACCCAGGGTTAACTTAATATTGACTAATAAGGAAGGAGGAGACCAAGTGCATCAGATGCGTGACTGCTGCCATTGTAAATTTTCCTGACTATAAAGAAATTACCATAGGGCTGGAGGAAGACTTAGAGAAGATGGGAGAGAATACACAGCATGATTTTTTCCATTGTTCCTGTTTTTTAAAACATAAGAATTATGAAATAATCATATAGGTATGGGAAAACAGTGTCTCATCCCTTGAGAGGTGTAAGATCTCCAAGACAGGGCTAGTTAGCTAGGTAGCAGGGAAAAGCAGTATTCTCTTTGCCTCTCAGCTCACAGCAGCTGAAGGAGAAAGTTCCATCAGCACTTTTAACATCTAAGAACAAATGGCTAAGAAAATGAAGGTTTGGGGCATCTGGCTGGCTCAGTTGGTTAAGCATCTGACTTTGGCTCAGGTCCTGATTTCAGGGTCCTGGGATCAAGCCCCTCATTGGGCTCTCGGCTCAGCAGGAGTCTGCTCGTCCCTTTCCCTCTGCCCCTCACCCTACTCATGCTCTGTTTCTCTCCCAAATTAAAAAAAAAAAAGTAGGTTCTTCTAAGATTAAAAAAATCTGGGGGGCCTGGCTGGCCAGCCAGTGGAGTGTGCAGCTCTGGATCTCGGGGTCGTGAATCCCAGCCTCACGTTGGGTGTAGAGATTACTTAAAAATAAAATCTTTTAAAAAAAATCAAAGTTTGATTAAATAGTAATTGATAAATATGCATTAGGTGAATAATATATTCTGTACAAAGGTATTAGCACATATTTAATTCTTACTCTATATACACACTTTGATTTAATTCAAAACACTGCAATTTGTTTGGTTAAATATTTGATAGTTACATTTTTTAGGGAAAAGCATAATGGACCAGAAACTATCCTGGTTTTAGTTTTAGTTATCCCTTTAGTTATTGATGATTGAGGAAAACCTCCAAACCCATTAAGAGGCAGTATAATCATTCCCCAGTGGCACCTGCCTGAATTGTAGCTGGAGTGTCTAGGAGGCCAAATGGGGCTTCTATAGGACTGGCCTGGCCATTCCAAGCCCATTGGTTTGGTTTTTATAGTCGGGTAGTGACAAATCTCTTACCAGCAGGGTTTTTGGACAATTCTGATTCAAGCCTTAATAATTCTAATGGTTTAGCTTTGTGTTCATTGGTGGTGGATGCATTTTCAACAGACTCTGGTCTTGGAGTTAAAACTTCTAAGGGAGAATGGTGCCCATTCATTGGAAAAGAACCAGAAGTCATTGGCCGCTGTGTTCCATTTTTTGATGCACTTGGGCTTGAGGCTGACTGATGTAAAGGCAAAGGCTTCCTGTATTGGGAAGGCTTAGGGTCATTCCAGAACTCATCAATGTCCACATTATCCTCCGTTCCATTCCTTAACTTATCAGATTCTAAAACACTAAATTCTCCTACTTCCCGGCCATGGCTTAGCCCAGGACTCTGGGGGAGCTCATCCTTCACTGAAGAAAATCTCACATGCTTCAATGGCTCCAGGGAGTTTGAGAAGTCATCTTCTAAAGAATGCTCCTTCTCAGAAATTCTCTCATGGATGGTGAGGCCAGGGAACACAATTTTGGTTTTGGGTTCCAAGTTCTGATGAAAACGAACTGTTTCCGAGTCTGTGCTGCTGGAACTAGAGTTGCGTTTCAGGATCCCCCTGGGAACGCCCCTTGTGCTTAGGGAGTCTGTCCTTTGTCGAGGAAAAGACTGGTTATCTTCTTGCTTTAACTCATGTGATTTGGGGAGAATTTTCCTGGCTTTGGGGATTGGAGCTTTGACCGGAGATCCATTCTCAGAGCCTGGAAATGTCTGCTTTGGTTTCTCTAAATTTTGGCTTGAAGTATCTGGGATAGATGAGTTTTCTTTTGACTCTGACAATTCACCTGCAAATTAAAACACATTAGGTGACATGTCAAATGGAGAATAGCTCTATTACTTAAAACGCCTCACATAAATTTAATCTACATGTAGCAAAAGCAGTAAAATATTAAAGAAAATAAAGTATTATCGTAAGTGTAGACCTAATTAAAAAGCATTTAAAAATTCAGGCATGAACTTCATTGACCTGTACATTTAAGATTCCTGTGCCTTACATACATACTTTGTGGTATTTTTATACTCAATAAAATACTTTTTAGAAAAGATTTCTAAAATTCCTTAAGGAGGCTAAGGAAAAACACAGAAGCCACTTTAAAAATTTACATATGGAAACCAGAAAAAAGAACTCAATTTTCTTTTTTTTTTTAAGATTTTATTTATTTTTTGAGAGAGAGAGAGAAAGAGAGGGCACGAGCAAGGGGAGGGGCTCGATCCCAGGATCCCCTGGATCATGACCTGAGCTGAAGGCAGACGCTTAACCGACTGAGCCACCCAGGCGCCCCAAGGAACTCAAATTTCTTAAAAAAATCTTAATTTTTTAAAAAGAAAATCTCTAAAACAAAAATTAATTTTTTCAGGGACTCCTGGTGGCAACAGTTGGTTAAGTGTCCGACTCTTGGTTTCAGCTCTAGTCATGATCTACGAGTGGTAAGATCAATCCCCAAGTTGGGCTCTGCACTCTTCATGGAGTCTGCTTTAGACTCTCTCTCCCTTTCCCTCTGCTCCTGCCCTCCTACTCTCTCTTTCAAATAAATAAATCTTTAAAATAAAAACAAAAATTAATTTTCTTCAGAAAGTTAAAAAAACAGGTAGCATGTTCCATTGCCTTTTTTCTGTAAAATATTTTACATAATATAATGTGTATCCAATAGAAAGGGGGAAATAAGCTAATATTAAAACAGGATAACTGAAACTCCAACTCCACTGTTCAATGTTAATTTTCTGTCCCTCATTTAATCTTTAACGCACGTGGAATCTTCTTACAGTTGCTTTTGAAGAGACTGAATTGTCTAGTATTTCTTCTTAATGGCATGGAAGAATGGTAAAATTCCATAAGAGGCAGACTTAAATCAATTAAGCCACCAAACCTGATCAAATGCCTCCTCAGGGACCAGGCTGATAATTACAGATTAGAGGATCACAACTTTGTCAAGTGGCTTTTTTTTCTCTTGAGGCAAACTCTTTTAATTTCACACAAACCGTGTCTGCATGTGGCAGACATCCAATAAGCGCCATTACATGAATGACTGAATGCCTCTGGTCAAAAAATTCCCTAGTTCACTGAGAGGGAACCTAAGGCCCGGAGGTCAAACGACCAGTGTCAGCTCCAAGACTGGAATGCATGAATTTCCAGTTTCTAAAATGTCTGCTTCCTTCCCTCAGGCAGGAAACCAATGGGCATAACACAATAAGAAAACTATCAGGACTTTTCACTTTCTCTTGAAAGTTATTTTAGTTAAAGGAACTCTGAGAATTTCCCTCAGCCCAGAGATAACAAAGATAAAAATATCTAGTCCGTAAAAATAATGTTTACCTTCTTTTGAAGTCTGAGAGAAACCAGCCTTTCCATTTTGTGACAGCTCACTTTTGGTTTGTTGAGATAAGTGATCTTCTGGCAACTTGGAGCTATTAAACGGATTTTTCCTTTGCTGGGGAAAAATATTGTTTATTAAACTCATTTTAAATGTCACAGCAGCAACTCAGTGTTAGCAAATGCCTATTATCTCCAGTATTGATAGTTTTATCCAGTAAACTCTATCTGGCCTGTTTGAAAAATTGCTGTCCTGGTTAATGTGGCCGGCACAGAGTTACCATATATGCCAGAAAAATTAAACTGTATAAAATACACTCAATCCAGAGTCCTACAAAGTTAGACCAGAACCAGGCATTTGAATCTAAACCTCACATTTTACAAAAGTGAGAAAATTTGGACCTGGTCAAGGTTAGGGTAAACCTGAAACTAATCAGGGCAGATTCCCCCCATGCTCTTTCTACCATATGAGACTCTTGCTGTACTAGATTAAAGCTGAACTAAATATAATTGTAAATGACCTTTCTTATAAAAAATTAAAAGATACTTATCAAGGTATTTGAAGTGCTTCATTATCACTATTATGATCATCAATTCCAACGACAGAAAGGGGATCAGTAAATAGAATTTTTTACTAATATAAAACTGAGTATCAATGTTTACTGCCTAGAGTTTCAGAAACTGGCAATCCCCTCCCACAAGCAGACCTCTAACAGAGATTCAGGAAGCTAAGAACAGGAATATGGACTGATACGGGACTAACAAGTCACATTCCAAATGCTTAAAAAGCAGCAGTCCCCAATAGCATGAGACTCTTTATTCTCTAGGGCAAGAAATCAGAGTCTTCAGCATGCAGAAACATGGTATTCATCAACTTTTCCACCACAAGAGTGACTTCTTACATTAAACAGTAAAAATCATCTGTATTTGGTGCAAAAAAAAAAAATCCTCTTTATTTCATGGTGCTTTGCTAAAATGAAAAAAAGAGCATTCTTGCCAAAAATGAGATATTTGGAGTCTGATCTCAATCTACCTTAGCCAGAGACACAGCTGACTTCCTTGTGTTTTCCTGGGATGTATCCATCACGGTGGAGGCTGGATTCACCATGCTAGAACTGCAAAAGAAACAATAATTCAGAGAATAAGCCCTCCCCCTGCGTCTGAAGCTGAAAGCTATTAAGGCAGGACAGCAGAGGATGTTTGTAAAACTGAACTGCCAGGAAGGGAGAGGGTGTTGGGGCCTAGAGATGATTAAGCAGTGAAGCAAAGGCAGGGGCAGAGCAGAAAGGAGAAAGACAGGGGTGAGGCAGGCAAAACCATCCAGCGGAAGCCGTCAGTTTTTATCATGGTACCAGGCACACGAGAGGTTCACAATGTAAATGTGTAGAAATGAACTCATCTCCAAGTCAGAAGCTAACATCAGATGCAGATGACAGGGAGCAACTCATCTCAAGGCAGGGTCGGAGGTAGGGGGTGTGGGGGGGGGGTGGCGCTGTGGCGGGACGTCATTGCTGAAATAAAACCCCAGAGTTTCAGGGAGGGCTCGATTTCACAGAACAGCGTGCTTACTTTAACTCAGGCAGGAAATAACCGAAGAAACGATTCAGGTGAGACCAGTGACTTGACAGCAGATCTAAGGGATGCTGTGCAGGGATGCTGGTGCATCTAGGCAACTTGCTGAGGACTCTCAACCCCACTCTCCAGGCTGGTCGGCGAGGTCTTGTTCAAACACCGGAGGGATAAGGCCAAGCACAGCAGCCAGAAGAGGATGGGAGAATAGAAGCCTGGAGCTGGCTCAGAAGAAGGAAGAAGATTCTCTACCCAAGGGACTGGGCAGCCCCAGGACGAGAGCAAGGTGGGAGTAAATGGAGAAAAGTGAGTTGAGCAAGGCTCCCTCCTGAAAAACCATTCCCATGGCTACTGAAGAAGGAGAGACAAAGAGTCAGAGTGGCTCTGGAGAGGAAGGAAAACCACCTACTCAGACTTCCCGCTCCAGGGGCCTTGCCTCAGGCATGACAGGTGAAGTCACTATTGGCTGAAACCACTGTACACACTTAGACTCCACCTGTTCTCTTAGTGACATCACAGAGTCAACAACTTGGAAAATACCTTGGAAGGCACAGGCTTTGCACCATGCAGCAAAGGAACTGGACCTTGGGGAAGGAGAGAAACCTGCCCCAAGGCCACAGAGCCTGGCCCAAGAATATGGTGGCTGCAATCGTGAGCAACATGTCGCTGCGGCTTCCTTTCCTTTCCTTCCTTCTGCACTTCAGTTGTTCTTTTTGCACAGATTTAGTCCTGGGAAGAGGCTGAACTTCTGAGGAAGCTATTCTTCCTTTCATTACCCTCCACATTGTTCCAGAAAGGAATTACAGCAAATGAGGCAGATGTATATAAAATACATCTTTATCAGGTGGATGTGACAAAGAGGGGGAAAGGGATGGGGAGGGGAAGGGCAGGGAACAAGAATGGGAATTTATAATGGAGCCAGAATTAAGGCTAATAGAAAAACACATTATAGGAGGTGATTCTTACAACAGGTGGGCACACGCTTCTATCAAGTTGTCTAGCAGCCAGGGTGAAAAAAGGACCTGGTCACTAAAAGAACTCACACTGTCCGTACAATAAAAACAGCCAAGAGCCCAGGACTAGAAAGCTATTTCTCTCGACTGCCATTTTAAGGAACCACACAGTGACATGAGGAACCTTATAACACATGCCAGCCTCATTTTTTTTTAGAATGTTTTGTATCATCTCCTTATAAATAAATCAGTCACATGATCAGAGGACCTGAACCCAGTGTTGCTGGTCGGGGCTGTCCATGGAATACCCATCTTCTCCTGCCACCTTCCTTCTTTCCCCTCCCACTCACCAAGAATGAAGGATAAGCAGGGATGCGACACTTTGCCCTCTCTGCTCCTTGGAAACCCAGCTCCTGTGCCTCCCAGGCCCCAGCTCTGAGTATGTATATTTCACACCATAAAACCAGACATGAAACCAGTCTCTCTCTTATTAAACTTTATCCAGCAATGTGCCTCATATCTACTATGCAACCTCATTCTGTGCGTACATACCTTATCTCTCATAGTAAATGGGAGATTCCCCAGGAGTACCATCTTGACCATCTTCATAACCCCCTGCGATGCCATGTAGAGCAGCTGGTACAAAACTACAACTGGTGAACAACTGAAAAGATGAAGGCTACTGAGCCAGGGCCAGGGAAGGCAGCAGCAGATAGGTAACCATGATTTTTCCTTTATTTTTTTCATGTTACTTGCCAAACAACAAGGAGGCACATTATTTAGGCTTTTTTTTTTTTTTAAGCCTTTGTTTCTATTAGCTCAGAAAGCAAGAGAGAGGAAGGAACAGCACATTCAGAGCACATGGTCAGTCACTAAAATACAGAAACACACAGTATTCACTAGGTTACTGTGTGGTTGGGAGAGGGGAAAATGACATGCGGGTGGGACACATGGTTAGTTACTTGGTTAGTCTGCTTACTCAGAAAAAAATGAAAACAAGAGTCTTAGGCCTCAAAGTCTGTCTGTGAAAATACAGCGACTTCTTAGGTTAAGCTCTGGCTCTACTCCTCCTGAGGAGCACAGCAATGTTTTGCGTGCCTGCCTATTCATTGGGAAGCATCATTACTGCAACCATCGTATCTTCCACTGGTTTTTGCAACATCCCTATGAGGTATGTACCCTTCTCCCCATTTTACTTATGAGAAAACTGAGGCTTGGGGAGGCTAAGGAACCTGCTCAATGTCACAAAATGAGTTAATGAAGGGCTGGGGATTTGAGCCAGGTGTCTGACCCTGACCCCAAAGACAATCATAGTCATGGCTAGGCTATCCTGCCTCTGACTTCTCACATTAATAGAGCAGTGGTTCATAGTGAGAGGGCTGAGGTCCAGGTGATTCTTCCTTCCCAGGGATTCTCACATTCATCATTTCCTTTCCACCTGCACTGTCACCTCCTGAATTTCTGTGGACTCGATTAGCTTCACATCTGACCTCCTGATTCTCAAATTCCACTCCTCTCATCCACTCAGCATTCCACCACTAAGCTGGGATGGTCTCACACATAACTTTGACCATGTCGCTCTTCTGCTCGTTTCTTTTCCCTGGATCCCCAGGGCCTGTGGAATGAAGTCTGAACTTGTCAGGAAGGAACTGGAGATCCTCCACCATCTACTCAATATACTTCCCCACTCTTCCTTTCTGGTGACCCTTCATGCCAAACGAAGTCGCCTGTCTGCTCATTATCCCCATTGCTATCTGCACTCTGCCTAACCCCCAGCCCTATCTTCTCGTGTTTGCTGTGCTCTCCTCCCAAATCCTTGCTGTCATCTCCAAGCCCCAGTCAAATCTCACTGCCCTGTGATGCTGCTCCTCTGTCAGCCCAGCTGGAAGTGGCTCTCCTTGACTCCAATCTTACAGCACATTTCCTTGGTACTTTGGAGAAGGAATTTGCTCTCGGCCTGGCACTATTTGTTATCATGTGATCAGACATCCACAAACGGACGCATAATTTTTCCTATGAGAGTATAGTCTCTTTATAGCCAGATACCTTGTCTTTGTTTCTTGAAATCCCTCTCAGAGGCAGTAGACTGTGTCCTGCATATAAAAGATACCCAATACATTCCACAAGATGAGCTTTTTAAACTGTAGCAAGCCAAATTCCCCACCCTGTGCTTGTAATTCTTCCCTCAGACACCCTTCAAAAACTACCTGCATACCAGAACGAACACTTAGACAAAATGGGTTTACTCTGTTAAAAGAATTATTAAAGTATTAACTTGTGATATTGGTATTAGGGTTCAAAGTATCTGCATTTTAACACAAGTCTCTGAAGACTTCACTCTAAAGAATCATGTTAGGTACTGTTGCAGGGACTGGGGAAAGACGTGGGGCTTCCCATCACACCACACGGGCAGCTGGACACTCCATCTGCTTCTGCGTCCAGCCCTAAAGTGCTCCGAAGCACATGAAAGCAACTTTTAAAAGCTTTTGAACCTTACCTGGCCTTTCTCTCTAAAAAAGTGAAAAATAACAGCCAACATCTTATGCCTTCTTTTGAGGCATTTTGCAGGTTAAATATTAACAGTGTTGAATCAGAAGCAAATTCGGCAAGTGATTTTTTTTCACATGTCGTTGTTGTTGTTGACCTCTTCCTTTGGACGATGAGATCCTTGGAAGCAAATGCTGTATCACATCCCGGGCGCCCAGCACCATGCTCTCCTATGTTACACTCTGTGAAGCTCCAATACATGAATAAACAAATTAAATGGCTCAGGGAAAAAGTGAGGGAAGTAAATTAGAAAATATGCTAGGCCAGGACTTTCAAGTCGGTATTTTCTTAAGTAAAACATTACTTCTCTGGGGGCACCACACTGCACGCTACAGAATTTCTCTCAGACGCATATTCTCAGCCAAGTGTAAGACACTCTGATGTCATAGTGCAGCTATTTCCACCATAAGTGATCTGGATAAATCCAAGATCCTATTGGGTTAAGAAAGATTGCTTCTCTGTCTGACCCTCCCCCCTCTCATGCTCTCTCTCTCTAACTCATTCTCTCTCTCAAATAAATAAATAAAATCTTTAAAAAAAAAAAAGAAAGATTGTTTTAAAAAGCTCCATAGAAGTGGATCTGTGGGGCAGGCCTCTAAGAAATGAAACAGTCACATCACTGGAGAGACAATGTATCCAAGGACAAAAGATCAAATGCGCTGCCCATAGATCGGATCATCTCGACCTTGACTTTGGGAGCAAGCCAAGTGCCTCACATTGATCTTATTATTGAGGGGATGGAGGTAAATAGCTAATCCTTCTGGGAGATAGAGATGGGTGGGGGGAGGGAGAGAGAAAAAGAGATTGAGATTGAGATTGAGATTGAGAGAGAGATAAACAAAAGCCTTCCAGGGAAAAGAACATTAGTAGAAAAATTAATACTATTTCAGAACTAAAGACATGGTTTGAATTGCTTGGTTCCCATTCAGCAGAAGGTAAGAGGGAGATCCACAGCAGAAGTACTGCTGAAGCACAGGCAGCGAAGCTTCAAAACTAGCATTTTTATTCATTAGGACAACTTAGAACAAAACAGTGTTTTAATTCCA